AGCTTAGTTTTACAAATTAAACAAAAAAATGGCCATTTGAACACATTTCTTGGGCCCCTCCCAGGGTCTTCGAAGGGACCCATACCAGTCCTACACCATGAAGCTAAAGATTACTTAATTTCATGATAAACCTAAATTAGCCTACAACCTTCCTTGTAGTGGGGGATAAGAAAGTGCTTAGCAGTATAGAATTAGGGGGAATTCAATGGTCAAAGTTGCAAACTAAAATTGAAGCGAAAAGGTTTTCACTCGTAGTCCTAGACGTACCTGCTACTATCAATTTCTAAGCCTTTTTAGGGGGAATGTAAATTTGTACAGCCACCATGGAGAACAGTATGGAAGTTCCTTAAAAAACTAAAACAGAACTACCACATGACCCAGCAATCCCACTACTGGGCATATACTCGGAGAAAACTATGATTAAAAAAGACACATGCACCCCAGTGTTCATTGCAGTACTATTTACAATAGCCAGGGCATGGAAACAACATAAATGTCTGCCAACAGAGCAATGTATAAAGACGATGTGGTACCTACACACAATGGAATACCACTCAGCTATAAAAAGGAACAAAACTGGGTCATTTGTAGAGATGTGCATTGTAGAGATGTAGAGACTGTCATTCTTTGTTAAAATGGTATGTATGCCCTCAAGCCTATCCACTCCTCTTTTTACTTATATATAAAGACCTCCATGTACATATAAAAATATCAACATCAAATAGAATTTGTATGCTTTGCTATTACTCTCTCTTATATGTTTAATTCTCAGGCCCAACCTCAGAATCTAAGAGGGTAGAGAAAAGGTCTTTCCTGCCATACATTAGTTTATCTTTTTCTTGTTGACTTGCAGGCATTCTTTATATTTGCCTTAAATTTTTTTCTGTTACACAAGTTAATGAATATTTTAAAATTTCTCTTTAAAACTCACAATAACACATGAGTTATAAGACATTTTAAATTCTAATATAGTTTTATCTTGTGTTTCTATATAGAGAAGACCTTCCCTATTCTAATGGCTTAAACATGATTAAAATTTTCTTTCAATACACATATGATTCTGCTTTAGATGTTAAATCCATATGGAATTTATTCTTATGATGATGAATTTATCTTTATGATCAACATTTTTATGATGACATTGATTTTTCCCCCCACATCAACTGATATATTTAATAGTCCATCTTTTATCCATTTATTTGAAAGGCCATACTTATGAACTAGTAAGGCTTCTATCTGCTTTGACCCAGCTGCTTCATTTCTTCTGGGACTGACAGGGAGGCCTGGCATGCTGCAGTTCACGGGGTCACAAAGAGTCGGACACGACTGAGCAAATGAACTGAACTGAACTGAACTGAATTAGTAATTCTCCTTTGCTATTCCTCAGTAGCATATTGGACACCTTCAGACCTGGAGGACTCACCTTTTGGTGTCAAATCTTTTTCACCTTTTATACAGTTCATGAGGTTCTCATGGCAAGTATACTGGAGTGGTTTGCCATTTCCTCCTCCAGTTGGTCACGTTTTGTCAGAACTCTCTGCTATGACCCATCCGTCTCGGGTGGCCCTTCACGGCATGGCTCACAGCTTCATCGAGTTACACAAGCCCCTTCATCATGACAAGGCAGCTGGGAAAGACTGAGGGTAAAAGGAGAAAAAGGCATCAGAGGATAAGATGACTGGACGGCAACATGGATGCAATGAACATGAACTTGGGCAAACTTTGGGAGATGGTGAAGGACAGGGAGGCCTGGGGTGCTGCAGTCCATGGGTCACAAAGAGTCAGACACGACTGGATGACTAAAGAACAACAAGGTTTATATAGGTATTATTCAGTTTCTAAGGTCTAATATTCTTGCCCAGGGATTTGACATCTTCTTTATTTCAAGTTTTTCAAAATTGTGCTTCATACAGAAAATAACCTTGCAAGACATTAAATAGAAATTTGCTAACATTTATAAAAAATACCAACCATAGATTGAAATAAAATGTTCACTTTAATAGTTATCACACAAATGTTTAGTTACAGTTATCTGAAAATTATGAGAACAAGTTGTGCATGTCACAGTCATGTTACTATCCATATAAGAACAACTACACACAATCATTTATTCAACTACATCAGGATAACACACAAGGTTTTGTTTGCTCTAGACTTCTCAGTTAAAAGGAAACACCAAATAAGGAAACTGAATTTCCAAAAATTAAGTTATTAACAAAATAAATAATAAAAGTTATTTCTAAATGCCTTATATTTTGACAACTTTGAATGATATTTACATACTATCATTTCTCCAAACCATAAATTACAACAAGGGTCACTGTCAGGGTGAAAATACATATTTTTAAAGCTTTTTTAAAATACGCTATTAAGCTTTAACATCACTTGATTTATTCTTGGCACATGTGGCATTTTGAAAAGTAAAAATACACTTTGCCAATTTTATGTTATTGTGCAGGTATAAGAGAAAGAGCACAGTTTGGGAGGCAGAGAGACCTGTGTTCAGTTACCAGCTTTGTTTCCAAGTTGTGATGTTAGGCTGGTCAATTACTTCTTGGCACTGGGGCCAGGATTAAATTAAATAATGCCTATTTTAAAATGCATAGCATGGGACTAAATGAATGATACCTCCTTTCCCTAATTTACTCACATTGAAGCAAAAGCAAAATATCACAGTCTTATGTTCTGGTACAATTTGAAAAATCTAGAAAAAAAATGGGAAATTTAAAAATAAAATCAGTGTATTTTGAAAAATTGCACTTTCAAGAAATAAGGAAAGCCTTCATCAGGTTTAAATATTTCCCATAAAACTTAGTGCCTACTATACCCTGATTTTTAAAAAAAAGTCCTAAAATATGATAAAATGGTCAATGATTAAGGACTTTTGGTTTTCTTTTGTGCTATTGATATAAAAATAATGGCTATATTTAAGGCTCATTAAGTGATAGTTTGTAGTTGCCCTGAACCAAATCTGTAGTCTTGATGTTGCACTATTAAAACAGACCTACTGCCTTGAATGACTATCACAGAGAAATTCCCATGATATTCTTCATTTCAACAACCATGGCCTCCTTACTGATTTTAAGTAAGGGATCATTTGGTGGTATGTGGTCATATAGGCCATAAGCTTGTCTGTCTTACGGATGATTCTTACATACATAATCACTTTTTCATGCTAAATGCTTGGTGCTTAGAAGATCTAAGGCTCCTGAAAACTAAATCGTCACAAGGGAATAGCCTACTCTGGACAGCAACACTTCCATCCCTATTCTTAGCTCCAAAGATGCAGAAACAACTCTATTCTTATTTTCTGTCCTCACCAGCTAACAAATCATCTTTCCAAACCTGACTCAAAAACTTCTCCTCCAGGAAACCTTCCCTAACCAAACTTCACACTCCTCCATTTATGTCCCTGACACTCATGTGTAACTTGTATAAACTTCAACTGCATATACTTCTACTCACGTTTCATCTTCTACCTCCAGCTAGGATACAGTCTGACTTTATAAGCTCCCACAGTGTTGAGCACAGTGAATGCATGTATGTACACGACTGTGCGTATGTATGTGCGGTGTGCGTGTGCATGTGTGCTGAATGACTAAAAGACTAAGAACCTGAGTGGGGTGGAGGGTAGGAAAAGTTTCATAATTTTTCAGAAATCAAAATTGCTGGACCTTCCTAATACTAAAATTTCTGATTTCCAAAGCTATCTGAGTTTGGTTTTAGATATGTCAATAATAAAAAGGCAGTGAAAAAAAGTTTAAAACACCTTTATGAAATATTCCAAAAGGCTTTTTAATAAATTACTAAAAGCACCAAACCAAAACATCTTACTAAATAGTGGGATAATCTTTCCTATAATTTTATAAATGGAAATTTCTTTTCATTCAAGACAAAGAATACTGAACAGGAATAGGTGTTGTGAATCAGGATAAAAAAGGCAATTCATTCTAAGTCAGTATCTTACACACATTTTACAATTAATCTGAAAAGCCTTCTGTGGTACATATGTATGCTTTGTTAAGAAAAAGAATGGTTTATTTTAGGATGTTGTCTGGTACTATAAAATAAGATACATATACTGAAGCTGCTATTTAACAAGGAAAATTTTGTTTATAATAGCTGTTACTATTAAAATAGGATATAATTTTAAAATTATTCTTAATGTGTATATTTTCAAATTTGCCTGACAGTGTCCTTTTGAAAAATCTGACAATTTGTAGTTAGATTACAGACATTTGAATTTCGTTTCTACAATTTGAAAATATTACACTTACATAATAACAAACAACAATACATTGTAGCTTTTTTACTGAAGCACTGCAATTAATATTTAATGCTTTTCAATAAAATAAAATTCATTGTACTTTTTGTAAGTAAAATTACACAACACATAATGTACATTATAATTACATTAAGAACAAATAAAATGAAGCATAAAAATTCTGTACCATAACAATGGATTGTTCTAGCTGTCATTCTAACTGTTAGCTTATTTGTTATGTTTTGGGTTTTTATCTTAAACCCAAGAACCTTTATTTTGAAATAATATACTAAAAATATCAAGTCTGGAGTTTAAATGTAAAACTCTCTTATGCTCTTTTTTCCTAGGTCATATAGGAAATAAAAAAAATGAGACACAGAGATAATTCTATTACTGCAAAATGCCTCCTTGCTTCCCCATATACCTCTATATCATTTCTAGGGCAAATGACACAGGACAATGGCAAATTACAACTTTGGCAAATTATAAGCTCATTTAAGTGGTTTCTTATTTGGAAAAAAGAAAAAAAAACTAAGAAGTTCCTTTTTTGGCTTATTCATTCTCAATCGTTTTTTTCTCTAATATATAACAGTAACATAAAAGCACTTCTTAAAATGCTCACTGTTTAAACAACACAAAATGAACTGGAATAATTTATAGAATTAATCAAAGTAGATACTAGGGTGAGGTCCTAGAATTTGTTACACGTAGGGCTAAACTTGCAAGAATTAACGCTTTTCAATAAAATAAAATTCATTGTACTTTTTGTAAGTAAAATTACACAACACATAATGTACATTATAATTACATTAAGAACAAATAAAATGAAGCATAAAAATTCTGTACCATAACAATGGATTGTTCTAGCTGTCATTCTAACTGTTAGCTTATTTGTTATGTTTTGGGTTTTTATCTTAAACCCAAGAACCTTTATTTTGAAATAATATACTAAAAATATCAAGTCTGGAGTTTAAATGTAAAACTCTCTTATGCTCTTTTTTCCTAGGTCATATAGGAAATAAAAAAAATGAGACACAGAGATAATTCTATTACTGCAAAATGCCTCCTTGCTTCCCCATATACCTCTATATCATTTCTAGGGCAAATGACACAGGACAATGGCAAATTACAACTTTGGCAAATTATAAGCTCATTTAAGTGGTTTCTTATTTGGAAAAAAGAAAAAAAAACTAAGAAGTTCCTTTTTTGGCTTATTCATTCTCAATCGTTTTTTTCTCTAATATATAACAGTAACATAAAAGCACTTCTTAAAATGCTCACTGTTTAAACAACACAAAATGAACTGGAATAATTTATAGAATTAATCAAAGTAGATACTAGGGTGAGGTCCTAGAATTTGTTACACGTAGGGCTAAACTTGCAAGAGATTGCATGGCAAAAGTAGAGACTTTATGGCATATCCCAGCTTTTGAAATATAGTTAGAAGCCAATCGAAAAAGCCTTTCAGCACCGAAGGTATTGAAGTGCCCAGGAAGTACTTTCTCTACCAGACCTCTGTCCACTAATTCTATCAGACGTTCACAGGTTCCAACATAGTCACTTATCCTGCTGTATGGGAGCCAATCAATCAGTGATCCATCATACACGACGTCTCCACTGAAGAGAATCTTTCGGTCTTTGTCATGCAAGCAAATACTGCCCCTAGAATGACCAGGCATGTGCATAACAGTGAGCTGTCTGTCACCAAGGTTGATCACATCCCCTAAAAATGAAAACAGAATTTACAGATAAACATGTTATATATTTGACTTCAATCACTTAAAGAACAGCAGAACACAACAGTTTCAAAGGTGTTGGGAAGATGATATTTATTTTACTTTCATTGTAAAAGCAGCCTAGTAATAAAAGATGATTTAAAATAAGTTGACTACATTTCATTTCTGTTGTTTACTGGACCAGTGTTTGCCAAAGCAGACAGTGGAACACAATTTCTGCTGGTTGTTATAATACATACAAGAAAAGATTCAGTGGTCAAATAATTTGGAAAACTCTTCCTTCAATGAAAAGTAAGCAGCTTTCTTTTCTGCAAGATTTGCTAACGTACATTTAATATGCTAATATACATTGTGGATATACACAAGTGAGATATGGCTGTATAGTTTCACAAATTTATTTGACAAAAAAATTCATTTTCAGAATATCCCTTATACTAATATCCTGATGACACAATTCATGAATGATGCTCTAGTGAAGGGTGTGGTATTTTTCCCCTTTGTTTTATCACTCTGTGGAAATTAAGGTCTGAGGAATCAGTACAAATGATGATGCTCTGGCTACTGCCATTGCTGTAATAAACTATATACTAATATCCTGATGACACAATTCATGAATGATGCTCTAGTGAAGGGTGTGGTATTTTTCCCCTTTGTTTTATCACTCTGTGGAAATTAAGGTCTGAGGAATCAGTACAAATGATGATGCTCTGACTACTGCCATTGCTGTAATAAACTGTTCTTGGTCTCGGACCCTGGAATGTCAAGTCTTCTGTCAGAATTCACTAAACCACCGCAGCCTAAGTTACTAACCTACAAATAGGGTAAAATCTCAAACTCCTCCCAGTTATTTGACAGTGGGGACGAAACTGAGCTGTATGAATACAAAATTGCTCTTTCACTGGATTTAAATCAGTACAAACTGGTAAATCATAATAAATTAAAAGATTCATATTGTTATCTCTAGTGCAAACATATACACATACAGAAAAAAATCAAAGAAATATAGCTAAAATTACTAGTGAAATTAAAATGGTATAATAATCAGGAATCATTAAATATAAAAGAAGACAACAGAAGAAAAATAAAGGCATAAACAAGAGACAAAGAAATGACCAAAATGGCAGACCTAAAAACAACTGTGTCAGCAATTATATTAAATATGAAAGGAATAAACACTCTAATCAAAGGCAAAGATTGTCAGACTAGATTTAAAAAGCAAGATATGTACTCAGTCTACAAAAGAAGAACTATAAAATCAAAGCCAAAAATAGTATGATAAGTCATACCTTATAAATATGAATGACAAGAACTAGAGTGGTTATATTGTCAGACAAAATGGCTTTTTATATAAAGAATATTGCTAGAGAAAAGAGGTACATTTTATGAGGACAAAATTAGGTCAATACCTAATGAAAAAAATTCTAAATGTATATGTACCTAAAATAGAGATTAAAAATTCATAAAATAAAAAAGAATTAAAATAAGAATGAATAGTTTAACAATTGAGCTTAAATATTTGAATAGTTTGAATAATTCATAATATAAGCAGATAGAAAATCAGTATGGATACAGAAGACTTGAACAACACCATCAGCCAACCTGACCTAGCCAACATATATAAAATAATTCATGCCAAAAGAGCTAAGTACACATTCCTTTCAATTGTACACGAAAGAGAAGTTTTGTTATATCTGTACACTGAAAACTACAGAAACACTTTAAAGAGAAATTAAAGAGAATGTGAGCAAAAGGAGAAATACACCATATCCATTGATTGGAAGACTTGAAACTGTTAAGATGGTAATTAAATTCAGTTTTTCTTATAGCTGCACTGTCTAATATGCACTTTATGAGATAATACAAATGTTCTGTATCAACACTAGGCAACATGGCAGCCACTAGCTATATGTGGCTAATGGCATGAGAAATAAAGCTAGTGTAACAAAGAAACTAAATTTTTAATTTTCATCAATCTTAACTAATTTAAATTTGTATTAGATAGCTACATTCAGAGAAGAACTATACAATGATCTTCATGACCCAGGTAACCATGATGGTGTGATCATTCACCTGGAGCCAGACATCCCGGGATGCAAAGTCAAGTGGGCCAGAGGAAGCATCACTATGAACAGAGCTAGTGGAGGTGATAGAATTCTAGCCGAGCTATTTCAAATCCTAAAAGATGATGCTGTGAAACTGCTGCACTCAAAATGCCAGCAAATTTGGAAAACTCAGCAGTGGCCACAGGACTGGAAAAGATCAGTTTTCATTCCAATCCCAAAGAAAGGCAATGCCAAAGAATGTTCAAACTACCACACAGTTGCACTCATCTCACACACTAGCAAAATAATGCTCAAAATTCTCCAAGCCAGGCTTCAACAGTACGTGAACCGTGAACTTCCAGATGTTCAAGCTGGAGTTAGAACAGCCAGAGAAACCAGAGGTCAAATTGCCAACACTCATTAGATCACTGAAAAAGCAAGAGAGTTCCAGAAAAACATCTACTCCTGCTTTACTATGTCAAAGCCTTTGACTGTGTGCATCACAACAAACTGTGGAAAATTCTTCGAGAGATGGGAATACCAGACCACCTGACCTGCCTCCTGGGAAAGCTGTATGCAGGTCAGGAAGCAACAGTTAGAACCGGACATGGAACAACAGACTGGTTCCAAGTTGGGAAAGGAATACGTCAAGGCTGTCTATTGTCACCCTGCTTATTTAACTTACATGCAGAGCACATCATGCAGAATGCCGGGTTGGATGAAGCACAAGCTGGAATGAAGAGTTCAGGGAGAAATATCAACAACCTAGATGTGCAGATGACACCACCTTTTTGGCAGAAAGTGAAGAAGTACTGAAGAGCCTCTTGATGAAAGTGAAAGAG